CCATTATATGCGTGGCATGTAATGCTAACGAATTATTATTATTGATTGTTGCGCTCGGATATTGATTTTATATTAGTGTAGCGAAAGGTAGACTACACGCCTCCATAATTTCACAAGTTAAAAACAATGAATTCAATTAAATTACAAAATGTAATGTCATATAGCAAAGGCGTGAAAACAAAATTTAAATTTACATATAGTGTCTGTGCATTCTCGTAAAATATTATTATTACTATAAGGTATTAGTAAATCATTTCGCATTACATTTCCGAAACCTTATTTACAATTATTATCGTATGTTTGAAACGTATAGGTGTTAAGTTGGTTATATAACTATTAATAACATGTATGTTAATGTTAATAATATTCATTGGAGTGTTTGAAAAATAAAACAGATATGACCGACGGTCAGAATTTAATGTACACTTCGTTTATAAATTTATGAAACACGAAAAAATGCAATTGTTGTATTAATACTACGATAGTAAATAAAACCGAATAGTTACTAGTGATTTGATAAAAAAAATATTAATAGTATTTTCGATTTTTGGATATACCTAATGTTGTCCATGAATTTATGAGTAAATCACTTAATCATTTTAATAGTTTTAACTAAATGTATTTGTGTACATTTACGTTGAAATTTCATTAACATTCCATTCAGTGTCTTCCTTCAAACATTGCAAAGTGTCTGTTTATTTCTTATTATATTTCGTTATTTCTTATCTATTATATATTTTGACACAGGTCATAGGTACACCTATTTTATGTGTATATAACCAACGACAATATAATTCATAACCCTGGAGTGATATGTTATTTATCAGCATAAACATATTAAATCCATTAAAGTGTTTCATTCGAATACAGTTGGAAAGTACTATCTACAATATACATTATATTATTCATATAGTCCGATAGTCATATTTGTGCACATATTTACAATGACATTTTCTGTTAGCAAAAAGGTACCTTATATCATCAATTGTACGCTTAAAAATATATACAATGACATTCTTCTGTAATGTGATAACTTCAATAAAATTCACTGCCACGTAATATTATGAGGTAATAAATTATGAATTAATTATTCAATGACAACAAAAAAATATATATTTACAATGTATATATACATATTATATTATAAATTATAATATATACTGATCGTAAAACTAGTTATAAATATTTAATCGTTTTTTTTATAATATAATACTTCCAAAAATTAGACAAAACATAAGAGTTCGAAATGAAACTATATTATTTAAATTTATATTTGAAACGTACTTATATATTGGCTAATGGTTATTAACTATCTATAAAGTATTAATACTACCTACCTACTATACAAATATATTCAAACTATTTAAATGTTAAAAATATTTTTATTATTATTTTAATATTATTGCTAAATAATAGGAGCGTCAATAAAATAATAGTAATAATAAAAAAAAACATTAAAACCACTCCAGAACATTCTAATTTTTTTTTTTGATCGAGATATCTTTTATTTTATAAATACTATTAGGTATAACAACATTACAGATGAACAATCATCTGAGTTTGAGTTCCGGCAGATCTATAACTTATTTTAAACAAATTGACGTTTTTGAACTTATACTCAATAGTATCAAGTCGTGTTTATTTATTATAATTTATTAATGCAACAAATATTTAAAACTCGATTCACATACTCTCGCTATAAAATTTCGGCCTTTGAACTTATATTGTATATTATTATTACTAACACTGAAATGTCTAAGATGAGATTATCGTTTTCGATCTTATGTTAATGCCTTGGTAGAAACAATTAAAAACGAATAAATAAAAAAAATAATTATTGTTATATATAGTATAGGTACCTAAAGATACGGTGGTATGATGCCGGACACTGCAGGTACCACTCTGTCGGATAATAACCTCACAATATATGTCTTAAAGGAACTAACCAATTTGAATTTTTTTTTACCGATTTGCTCGAAGATAATTATTGACGAAATGGATACAATTATTTATATAATTATTCGTTACCCACTAATTTCAGAATATTAAATTTCACAATACAGGCAGCAGATACGATCTCATACAGAAAAATAAATATTCTCATTGATGGTAACGTAGGTACCGATGCATTACACGTATATTATAGTGTACGTACCTACCTATCGAACATGGCGAGGATCATATTATATTGTTATTCTCGTCAAACTGCGATTCGTGCCCACGCACATTATTCTGTAACCGTCAAGATAGGATCACGAGTACATAACCTATCGGATAATTATGTTAAAATAACAGACGACTTTCGAGAGACAAAAAAAAAGTACGTAAGTGCACAAATCGGTTTATAGATGAATATTGAACGATTAATACAACCACGACGTCAGCATAGGATCAGTTGGGGGGCCCTATCGCAGGTATCCTATGTAGTATTCAATATATTATCATTTATCGAAAATAATATATTATATTATATCGACAACAAACGTTCGATCGGGATTCGACGGGGAAATATTGCAATATTAGCCGATATAAATAGTACATTCTAGAGTCGTATTCGACTGTCACTAATCATTACCAGGGCCAACAATTGTATGCATTTGCATGTGTCATTACACTGTAATATTTTGAGCAGAACGCGTTATTGATCGATTACGATATTTATTGTGGACCAGACTATCGATTAATTTGACCGTACAAGACCTATTATAGGTATATATGCTGAAGTGTACCACGGTACATTTACCACTTCAAACCACCCAAATTATGGATACTTCGTTAATCGTTCTACATTTTTAAAATGTAAAAGTGTAAAATATGCTCATTAGTTCACAGTTTTATAATTATCACAGGAATTTTAGCTTAAACGAGTCAAGCGCTGAAGCCTTAATTAATTTTAAATAAAAAATAATATAATTTCAATCATAAATATAAATTACAAAAATATAAAAACTTACTTTATTTAAATGAAATAATTAAAAACATTTTCTGCAACACGTATTGCTAAAAAATACTTTATTGATATTTTTTTTTATCACGCATTTTATTCGAGCATTTCAATTATAGCAATACAAATTAGAAAAACTGGCATTGATATGGGTAAAACATAATATTATTGAATTGCATATATGTAGGTACTAGGTACACTCTTGAAAAATAATTTTTCTTATGCCGCTGAACGCACCCTGTTTTATGGTCACCCACTCGAATAATATCGGGGTGGCAATTGCACCCCCGTCCTCCTCTCACCCCCAAGAATACCACCTTTAAGTCAAGACTCGCACAGTCTGTAATTTATGACGCATAATGAGTTGTGTGTAACCATAATATAATATTATTGTGGAAGTAAACGGCGTGTGACCAAGACGACACACAAATGCCTACACTATGCGTTGAACAAACCGGAGAATAGACGGTGACGACTATTGCTAGCGAACATTTCGAAAGGAAAAAACGTCTGTATAAGAATTTTATCTGAAGAATTTACTTTATAAGAACTGCTCGGGAAAACAGTGACGGGTGGAATGACTAAGTGTTGGAGTTGTCAGTCCGAAAAAAAAATTATTCTGTTCTCTGACTTTTTGGCCTACTGCGCCGATTATGTATTATGGAAAAAAAATTGGTTGGCTCACATACAAGTAATATAATACTACAATATGATAACAAAATCACAGAGTATCGATATTATAGCGAAGTCGCTCGATATTATAGTTATACTCTTAGATGACGTGTCAACTGTTATACTATAGTAAGAACATTATCTGTTTTCATCCGGTTTTTATGATATTTTAATATATTTTAGGCAAGTTATGATCATATTGATATTATGATATTAATTTTAGATTATTGTAATACCTATCTTTAATTTTATTTGATCACATGCTCATAAAATATGCTTTACACAGACATACCTACTAATGTTCAGATGTTCTTAACTTTGATATATTTATTCAATTTTATTCAACCCAATATTAAAAGTATTTTAAAGTAACTGCACAAAAATTATTTTGCTGAACGTTAATTTGCTATGTTGTACATTTGTATACTATTATTTTTTATTTATTTTTGTATATTTTTTTATGTTTGTTAGGGACGATTTGACGAAGAAGAATGCTCGCGAGGGTGTGACGTCAACTTAATTATTGTTCAGTATTTAAATATTGTCAAGCGGCATTGCTCTGTGAAGCGCAAGCGACTTTTTTTCGATCTCGTCTGATTACTTGCCGGATTAGAAATTTTGGCAGAAAAATGCCATTATGTACAATCGAATTTGTGACGTCACACTTGTTCTCTCTATCTGGATGGCCCAACGGACCCAAGGCGTCCTACTTCCAAACAAAATAATGCACTTATCTGTTATTGTTGACTCTCAAAATTCTGATGAAACACATAGTTTTACCTTTTGTGTATTATTAAATTTAATGTGCTTAATTTGTTCTTATATCGTTTGACCGCGATATAAGTATTTTGTTTTATTTAGTTAACTAGGAGGAATTTCAATCGAATTCTAGTCGGTGAACAGACAAACATCGCACAACTTTCCGTTGCTGAAGTAATAGTATTACCTACTCCTGGAAAAAAAATCTCTCGGGTATAGGAACGTACAGAGGGTGTTTTTACGTCTTTTCGGTTACTCACAATTCGAAAGCGATATTATTATTATTATTATTACCATTTCAACTCAAACGATGCGACGGAGATGGGTGTAGGCGCTTCGTTATAACAAAACAACAACAACAACAACAACAATAACGACGACGACGATAGAATGTAGTGGTCGTGGAGATGGCGCGTCGGTCGTAGGCCGTCAGGCCGCGCCGGTATCGCCGCCGCCGACGAGTATCGTCGTCGTGCCGTGGGGTGCCGGGAGAAGCGTCGGCGGCGGCAGCGTCGGGTGATGGTCGAGGGGTTGGTGCGGGGGGAGAGGGGACGCCGCCGCCGTGTTGGGCACGCGGCGTTGCCGGACCGTTGCGCGTGCGGCGTTCACCGCGAGAACGTTTTCGGCGTCGACACTCGTCGTCAGTAGTACTCAGTATCGTATCGTCGGCCGTACCGTTTGCGTGTTTGTGCTTGTGCTTCACATTCGCGCGTTCGTCTGCCGTCGTATCGTCGTCGTCTGTTTTTTAGTTGATTATTGTTTTGTTTCCGTAAAAATTCGTCACCCGATAAATTAAAAAATTACGCTCGTTTCTTCGCAACGTGATAAATTATCTGTCGGTTCGATTAGTTTTTGCTCGCACCCCGCACAACCACATTCGCTCGGACGACAAAAACGCGCCCGCACGACATCGTCTTTTCCAAATTTCGGGAAACACTATGCTCCGGCCGTGGGCCAACGCCGCAGCCGCGCACGACCGACGTGACCACGTCGCGGCCGCTGCCGTGCCGAAGTGCTGTTAACGACACCCGCGCGGCGTTACGCGTGCAGTGATCCCGTCCACGGCGGACACGCTCAGGGGATAATCGGCCGAGGAGTATACCTCCCGGGCCCGGCGTGTCTAGTCGTCCGCAGCCGTCGTCTCGACGAGAGCACTTTTATCGCGCCGACCGCGGCACAATATCGGCCGACCTGCCGACCTACCGACCGACCAACGCCGTCGCGCCACCGCAGTACCCATAACCATGGTTCTGTTCGACAACCTGTTCGGGTTCCCGGGGTTACCGGGTTGCCTGCGATTCTTTTCGCCACCGTCCGCGGCCGCCGGGCGCCGGCCCACGTCTGCGACTATGCGCGGCGTGTCGTGCACCAAGATCACGTCGTGCCTCACGCTGGTCCTGCTCATATGCTTCGAGACGGTCCTGCTGTCCACCGTCAGCGATTGCACCAAGTCATTCACCGTTCACTGGAACACGTCGAATTCAATGTAAGTACCTATACCGATGGACGCTAAAAAAACCACCCTCGTGCCCACCACGACTCCGACACCAGGAAATCCCTCCAAGCCATACCCCCCCCCCCCCCCCCATACACAAACCATCCCCCGGCGGCGGCAAAATAGACCGCACCGAACGCGCGTGTACCCCAGTATATATATAATATACGTATGTATTGTTATTGACTTTGGACAAAAACACTGATGTATTTATTTAGGTGTATTTTTGCACTGGGTACACTGTAGTTGTTTCGGGCCGTCGGTTTAAAATAATATGTTATAATATAATGTTATTGCTGTTTTTACCATGAATTATTATTGTATAATATTGTCTACAGTCATCATAATGCTTACATTAATACCTAATTGAAATTTGTGTCGCTTGTTGTGTTGTTATTATTATTATTATTATTCTTATTATTATTTAATCGTCTCTCGCACTTGTTATGTCGAGTCGATGTTGTATTGTTTCTCGTCGCGTTTTCTCGTGAGAAACACGAAATTAGTAATGTACGCGTGTGTCTGTGTACGCGTAGTATACGGAAAAAAATTATAATTTTTTATCTACCTACCTATTCTAATGCGTGTGTTGTGTGTGGTTCCCCCCGCGGGACGAAAACTCGTTTCGATAATGAGCAGTGACAGACGTGATGGAAATATCCGTGATGAAAGAAACATTGAACTTGATGAGAAGAGAGGAGTAGTAGTGAGCTATGGGTCAGGGCGGTAGGTCCTCTCCTCCCGTCGCTCACGTTCCATCGACGGCGGAGCGTCTAATAGCCCGTGTTTCCTGGATATAAATATAATAGTGCCGTCGGTGGCGTTGAAGGGGGCTACGACGATTTTTTTTTTCGTTTGTTTTCTGTTTTCGATATATTTCCGCGTCCTATTGGGCACGTCAAAACGGCCGGTAAATTCGTAAACGTAGGTGTGTGCAAGAGAACCGTGAAGGGTATATTTTATTATTATAATAATAATAATACAGTATTTGATAATATTATTAATATTGATTACACTCGTCGACGAGTACCTATGTATTTCAGTGCCAACGATCGTTCGATCCGACGGACATTTTACCGTCGTTGAAAAACTTTTTACATTAACGGTTGGCCCGACGACTTTAACGTTCGACGACTGTGGAGAGTAATTTTCGGCGGCGTTTGTGGTCCTCCGTTAAACTCTTAAATAGTTTGGCGGGACCGCCGATTTTCCAACTCGTCGCATCGCTTTTTCAAAAGTATCACGCTTGTTTATAATCAATTGTCGTCGTCGTTGCTTAAATACCGAGAAAGCTGGCAAGTCAAAACAGAAATATTTTTCTTCGAATTTTATCTGGGAACCCCGAACAACGAGATCCAAAAATTGATACTTATTTCCATTTAATGCAATTCCAAACGAGTCGTTATTCCAAACGTGGTGATCATATGGCTCACTATAAAGACTTTACTAGGAAAACAGCATTCTAGTCGTTCTTTAAATAGGTATATTTTTTTTTCTGAACGCACACCACTTGGCTCATGTAATACGTACGTACCTACAAGAATATGTAATACTTATTTTCTTTGTCGTCGTCCAAATCGTGTTGAACGACAGACATGGTAGCTGTTCAACATGACACGATTTTTATGATTATTAAAAACCCAACCTCTTGAAAATATAATAATAAATGACAACTCTGCGTTTATTGCTAATTTTAATGTCGACTATCGAGCTATTGTTAAGATAACAAATTGGACTTAATAGTCATCGTTTTGTCAGAGGTGTACCTATACCAATGAAAAAAAAAACTGAAAACGAAATGAAATCTGAGAAATTTTAGTACGGTTGTAAGAATATTTTATCGGCCGACTGACTTGTTTGCTTTGCGGCGAATAGTTATAGATACACATAATATTTTCTAAGACTATATAAGTACTTACATATATACACCAGTTGGTCAATTTGTCACATTTAAAAAACTTCTCGATAAATCATATTATTTTACAAGACACACAATAATATGTTAATGCATGGTTACCGTGGCCACACACAATAGACACACGTCTGCCACAACATACGATGACGCTTGTTTTTTCTTCCTTCTTTTCATTGGGCCGAGTGCTTTTTTATTTCAGCGATTTTCGTCACTTTATAAGACGCGTTCCCTGCAGCTACTTGTCTCGAAGCATATTAACATGTGGTGTACACCCTTTGGAGTACTGGTCGCGGGGGCGGGGATGACAAAAGTGAATGTTTTTTTTGGTTTTTTTTTTTAAATATATAAATATGTGAAAAAAATAAACTACCTGCCTAGTAAAACGGATTTTAATATTATATTTATTTTTTTTTTTTTTTCCAACCGATAGTAATATTCTCTTCTCGGGGGCCCCGACCGTAACCGGTTTCGATCCGTCCGCGTGTGTCCGAACGGAGGGAGTTTGTCCGAGTATGTGTGTGTGTGTGTGTGTGTGCGTTAACCTTGGGAATTTGATGAATGTTCATGATTCCTCCGGACGCGCTCTGCAACGCTGTATAAAGAGTTCTCCCGACTGGCGAGCAGGGGAAACAAACAGAGAGGTTTTTTTTCCTTTCTACATTTTTTTTTCCATTTTTATCTCGTAACCTCTTCTCGTACCCCCGCCCACCCCCGGGCAAGCATAATGGATCTATAGCATTTGATAAGACGACCGTGATTTATACGGCCCATGTTCGGGAAGTTCCGTGAGAAAATTTACCGAAAAAATTGCCACGAGACGTAACGTATGTGTCTTACAATACCAACATATAACATATACCAAAAATAAATTGAAAATTTATCTCTTTGAAAAATTGTAATTCACGTTTTTTTCATTGCCATTTATTAGTATTACTATTATATTTGTTGTTGAAATACGCTAAACGATTAATGTTTCTAAGGAACTCAATTGTTCTCTACGGAACGAAAAACGAAGACCATTTTTTGAATTTATAATTTACGTGTCAATAAACACGATAACGCTTATAGTATTACTGCTGTTTTCATGAATGCTGTTTTTTTTCTGGGATTTAAGTGTCTGTTTACTTTATAGGTCTGTGTATTTACTATCTTAAATTATTTTTCTCTTACACTGGTTCAAATAGGATAATATAATGCATTGTATTTGAATTCAAAACGAAATTATGACCAATATTGATAGCATAATACTGTATGTTTAATATCAACTGTGATTATCGATTTCATATAAATATTAAATATAGGTTCTATTACAAAATAACAGCACAAGTAGAGTGAATATTTTCCATTGTGGTCAATTGTGGAGCAATTGGTATGCTGCATAACAATGATAGTTATTTTATTCGTATGTACTTTAATTAGCTGCAAATCCTTCATGATATAAATTCCATTAGGTAATCCGCTAACCAGGTAAATTAATTTTGAAGAAATTAGTTTGAGCATTTGACGGTGGCAGGACAGCAATGAGCAGTTATATATTTTATTATACTTTTACTATACGTGTATTGTCGCCTGTCGTTATTACTGTTTTTATTTTCTACACAATATCAACATTAAGTACTTACCTATAATATTATTTAGTTTTAAACGTTGATTTATTTATTTATATTCTCTAATATATGCCGCTCATTGTTGCATGTTTTTTTTTTCATTCACACGCAAACAATATTTATAATCAATTTAAAGTGTTATCAAACAATCTACACCATCTAGGTACACCATTTACACTTATTTGTCATTTTAATATAAAACATCCTAGTTAGGACGATGTACACACAATTGTCCGTTAATATTGTGTAATGTTACACCTCCAACCATAATATCTTAGGTAATGTTACGCATCCCGGATTGAACATTAATAAATAAAATAAAAACTAAGTTTTCACCTTTAAAAATAAAATAAAACCGATAGCTGATATCATCATATTGTATTATATACCTATTAAGTAGGGGCACCACAGCTGTACTATAACAGGTATAGTTTGTAATTCTAGTGAGGTTTATCATCCAAAGGATGACTGCTCAAATACAGTACCTATACCTAATTTAATATATTATTATATTTTACTCGTTTGTAGATTTTGATATATTGTTATCATCGCGTAAGATAGCTGCAGGTGTATGTGTATTTTTGGTATTCTTCGCGGCAGCGACAAACGTGGTAGGTCTGGCGTTCAGTTATTTTGACATTTATCAATGACGTTGGCGATTCTAACAATATACACCAGACAACATATTATTATTGTACGATTTCGGTGCGCGTCTCGGTCATCGTTTACCGCATACACGTGTAAAATGTACATATACCTACCTATTATAATATATTATGTCGATGGTGGAAAAAAATTAAATAAAAGTATTTTATGCGCCACCGCAATACCGGTACAGCGGGTAGTGGTGGTGCAGGCGGCCGTGTGGGGTGTGATAGGGGGGGGGGGGGGGGTGTAAAATCGGTAGTCATACAAATAATATATAAGCGACCACCCCGCCGACCTCTCGTGCACGGTTTTTAGCGGCCGCCGCGTGTTCGTGCCGCTCTCCGCGCGGACGACATACTCGAGTCTCGGTCGGGGTGTGCGGGCCGACGTGGGTGGGTGCGTGGTGGTAGGGGTCGGTCAGCCGCCGGGGGGCAAAAGTGTCAAACCGTCGACGACGACCCCTTTTTCTCCTCTATCGCCACCTCCGCATTCGCCGGTACCGACAACGCTCGCAGAAGCGCCTCCGACCTATACGTGACTTGTGTTTTTCTTTTTTTTCCGCGATCCACACAATCTAATAATATTATGTAATATATTATACATGCAAAATCTTCGTGTTGTACGACGGGTAATAATTATTGCGATACGATCAACATCATCATCCATCGCTCTGCGTCGCCTTTGCGTGTGCAACTCGGAATGGAGCACACTCCGGGTAACTAGCTAGGTAGTCCAGGTTTCGTGTTAAAATACATGTATAATGTATATTGTAAATACATAATAGCATCTGTCGTATAAGTCATATAGGTACCGCGAGTGAA